GTCTGCTTATTTTTCATCTTTCTCCAGTTGCCAAGACCACCATGCAAACTCCCATCAGCAAAACCTCCAAAACCACGACTGGTATAGAGGTCACAGAGAGTAAAAGGAGATCAGGGTCTCAGCCCCTGAGTCTGGGAGCTGCAGTAGGAGTGGCACTGGCCATTGCTGTGTTTGTAACTGCAATTCTCGCATTGATGGTCTTCCTCAGGTGGAAGAGAAGAAGAGGTAAGCTTGACCCTCTACCCAAGCTTCCAAATTGGGTGATCCTTAACATTCACCTGCATCAGAATCAGTGAAGGTGCTTCTTAAAAATGCAACTCACTGTGGGGCTCCCCTCAAACTCACCAAGTCAGGCTCTGAGGTCTGAGCTTGGAAATCTGCCTTTTTATAATCCCTACAAGTAGGATCAAGTTCTGAGAACCATCAATCCCTGTCTACACAACTGGGTCATCTGCCAGTTCTTCTCACTTTAAATAGTCATGTCTCATCAATTCTTACCTTTTGGTTCATAGAGAAGGGAGGGCTTACCCTGGGAAAAGTAAAGGAGAGAGCAGAAGGAACAGAAAGTTGGATCAGCTCAGCAAGGATTGGTCCACTGCCCACTTTCCAAAGAGCCTGGTTTGAAACTGGAGAATCAAAGTGGGTAGAGTGGAGTCAGTTTTCAAGAAACTTAGTAGTAGAGGTGGTGGTGGTGGGAGAAGCAAAGTGGGGAAAGATCACAATCCCATTTATTATAGAATCAAAAATAAAATAAAATACTTGGAAACAATGTACAAAACATTGTGGAAGGGCTGGGGTTGCAACTCAGTGGTAGAGCACTTGCCTAGCATGTGTGAGGCACTGGGTTCAATCCTGTGGACCACATAACAATAAATAAAGTAAAAGTATTATAGCCATCTACAATTTAATTTTAAAAAAATTAAAACATTATGGAAAGAAACTAAAGAAAGCACAAATAATTGGAATGACAGCTCGTAACCATGAATTGAATTAATGTTAAGATGCCCCATTACCCAAAGGAATCTACAGATTCAGTGCAATCCATGTCAAAATCCCAATGGCATTACTTTCTGAAATGAAAATTTCAACCTAAAATTAGAATTTCAAAAATCACCAAATAAGTCAGTCATGGTGTGCACTCCTGTAATCCCAGTGGCTCAGGAGGCTGGGGTGGAAGAACGGCAAGTTCAAAACCAGCCTCAGCAACTTAGAAAGACCCTGTCTCAAATTAAAAAATTAAAAGGGCTGGGGATGTGGCTCACTGATTAAGCACTTCTGGGTTCAATCCCTGGTACTAAAAAACAAAAACATTCCAAATAGCCAAGTGTGGAGGACCCACACTTCTGGATTTCAAAACAATACAAAGCTACAGTAATCAAAATAGCCTGGAACTGACATAAAGACAGATATTGGAACAAAATAGAGAACCCAGAAATAAACTCTTGAATTTACAATCAAATGATCTTCAACAAGAGTGCCAAGATGTCTAAATAGGGAAAAAGAGGACCAACTGAGAGTTAAGAGGAATGGTCCACAGAGGCAGTAGAAGTCTTGAACACAATTCCAACCCTGGGGATGAATCTGCAACAGGAAGAAGCAGCCAGCACTAAGGAGAAAGTGCTAGAAGATGTTTTTGTGAAAGGAAGGAAAGAACAATGGAGGAAAGCAAGGAGGAACATAGGAGTGGGCAAGAAGTTCAAGGGGGAAGAAGGAAGTAAAGTTTGGAGATAGGGCAAGGATGAAGGGGCAATTGACCAGAAGAGCTTGTCTTAGGATTTGCTGTACAGGACAGTAAGAGGTGAGAGCTGGTTGCAGAATGCCAGCTGAGACCCAAGCCCTTTCCTGGCTGTTGGGGCAGAACTTCTCTGGTACACTAGTTCCTTAGAAAGATTGTCTGAGTGCAGGACACAGCTAAGAAGGTGGGATGGAGGATCATCATGGATGTCACACTGACGTGCTGTTGGTTTTCCTACAGATCAGCCTACCAAAGCCCAAAGCCCAGCCAAGTGAGTATTTGTCCTCCCAAGACTGGGGGAGAGGGGCTGGTTTGGGAAGTCTCCTTGGGAAAACCATACAAGGTGCCTGTTACAGCCACTCTTCCATCCCCGACTCTTTTGTCCTCCAACAGACCAGACTCTGTACCTTCACAAGCTTTATTCCCTGATAATGACCAGAATGCACAGGCTTTCAGCTATTCTCCTATCCAGAACTGCTCCCTCCAGTCTTTCTCCTGGATCCTCTTTCCTTCCCTCCTTCATTTCTAAGCTGCAACTTGTGTTCATCTGGTTTCCCCTCAGACTTGAACATGTCTTCCTGGACACATCCAGCTCCCCAGATCCTCTTGTCATTCTTGCTGCCTGTCCAGTCTGTCCTTTTCCCCTGATGAATACCCCACGAACCCCAGGCATCCTCTGCCCCAGCTCACCATCTCTCTCGTCCTTTCCTCTTCATCCTCCCATTACCATACTTTCCCAATTAAGGTCTCTATCTCTCTCTTCTCTCCCTGCCCAGCTGCTCTTCTCCCCATCTCCAGGTCCCTTCTTCTTCCAGAGACTCAGCCTGAGCAAGGGCCCAGAAAACCTAAATTTGTTCTGTTCTCCCAGTTTTAGCCAAGGCAGTACCCTCCCTACCTCTCCTAAGTGCCCCCAATACAAGCAGCTTCCCTCGAAAACCCACCTTTAGTTGGTGCTAAGACCTCTGCTGGACAGCCCCACCAAGGGCTCTGATTCCTCTTCCAGGCAGCCTCCTTCTGGGGGGCCTAACACCATCACATTCATCCTGTGTACCAGGGCAGATTGTAGTGCCCCCCAAAAGGAGAACCAGCATGACTTGACTCCCTGTGCCCAACCTCTAACCTACTTCTCAACCTTTTGTCCCCATGCAGTGAACTCTTCTCAAATACTGAGGAGCAATATGAGAATGTTGAGTATAGAGGTAAGTCCTACCATCACCATTCCCAAGCTTCCCAGGCCCTTCCTTCTTCCCCCAAACACCTGCTACCTCCACATGCACCACCTCTGTGCTCTCCCCCATTCTGTTCCTCACTTCATCCCTCCCATGTGACCTGCCCATAACCTAACGATACTGGGTGCCACAGCCCCTATCATTTGTCCACCTGTCTGCCATACCACTTGTTCTCAGCACTCCTTGGTTTTCCCCTCCATAGGACACAACATACACTTGAAAGTGAAACCTGAGGTAAGCAGCTCAAACTTGGCCCTGAAGGAGGTAAGGGGGATTTGGAGAAGGTAGTATGCAAGGAACGGAGGGCCTGTGGTGTAGGCAAGGTACTCAAGATATAGGTCTTTGCTTTAGGAGAGGAGAGCCAGGCCCCAACATGACTTGACTCCCTATGCCCTATACTCCCTATAACCTATTTCTTCAGAACAGAATATAGGTTCTTTTCTGGGGAGCCTCCATTCTGGGGTCTAGGCCCTTCTCTCCCCTCCAAGGGACAAGGCCACATGATGAGCTGGTGGGTTCAGCCCTTTGGCATCATTCTAACTTCTTTTTCCTGAGACAAGTTGGTTACTGAAGCCTTGGTTTGGGGTACTTGAAATTTTTTCTTAAAGCCTAGATGCAATGAGAATAAAGTTCAGAGTCCTATAAGGCAAGATTATGCTGGCTTAGTAAAATTCTAAATACCTATGCAAAGAAAAAAAAAAAACGTATCTGTGGAAAAGATCGCAGTATAAAGAACATGGGCTTTTGGGTCAGAAAAAGTTGGATTAAAGCCACTAACATTCTCTTCTTTTGGTTCTCACCCAGGAAGACAACATTGTCTATGCCTCCCTTTCCCTCTCCAACTTGACCTTGCCAGGAGCAGCTCCTAGCCACACTCTTCATGGGGGCTCCCCAGAAAAGAGCCTATATTCTGTTCTGAAGACCTAAAGAGTGGGGTTGAAATGATGATCTTAGATTCAACTATGCTTAGGGCTGGAGTTGTGGCTCAGCCGTAGAGCACTTGCCTAGTACATGCAAGGACCTGAGTTCGATCCTCAGTACCACATAAAAAATAAAAAATAAAAAAAATTAAGAATATTTTAAAAAAAGAATCAACTATGCTTCCAATGGGAAAAATCACAGCTTCCAATTACTAAAACCAGACAACTCAGAAATCAGGAAGTTTGAAGGACACAAAGAATTTGGTACAGCCATTTATAGTCAAGCCATCTCCTCTAGAATTTTTTTTCTCAGTGACTATCTCAGGCCAGGAAACACAAATCCCCCAACCCTGGTAGCCACCACAGAACCAAGGACTGCTTCTGATCTAACCATCATCTACCCTCACCGTAACCACTAGCATTATTCTAATTATTCCATCACCTCATGAAAACATCAATCCTACTTAGACCATGTGCCCATTTGAGGCATGAAGAGATAGTTCAAGTGCTTGCCCAAGGCTATAGAGCTGGCTAGTATCACTGAGCCAGGATCTGAACCCAGACCTACCCTTTTGGAGGTTCTCCCAGGACTCAGGTCTCACTGCCTTCCCCAGGTCCTATGACATGCAAGCCTCCCATCAGAGGCACTGATATGCCACAGTAACATGTGGAAGGAAAGAAGCCAAAATGAAGCACTGCTTAGACAGAAGCCAAACAAATCACATCAGTAACCTGCTTTATTAACACATAAACTACACAACTGACTTGAACTTGTAGCCAACTAACAACCCCAAAATTATCAACTGCTCAGGGACCTCCCAAGAGACTCCCCTGCTGCAGAGAATAGTAGGATAAGAGCAGAGGACTACTCCTCAAAGAAGGCTGCAGGGAACCCCCCTGCATCCTCTCCATGCTGTGGCTCCCCTTGCTCCTTGGACTCTCCTCCAATATCTTCCATGAGTTGCTCCAGGTCCAGGTCACTGGAAGCTTCATCTTCAGTGGGGATACTTTCAGCCTTCTTAGTCGGTGGTTCCTGGGGTCTAGGCCCTTCTTTCCCCTCCAAGGGACAGGCCATGTGATGAGCTGGTGGGGTCAGGCCCTTCGGCATCATTCTAAGTTCTTTTTCCTGAGACAAGTTGGTTGCTGAGGCCTTGGTTTGGGGAACTTGAAATTTTTTCTTAAGGCCTAGATGCAATGGGAATAAAGTTCAGAGTCCTAAAAGGCAAGATTATGCTGGCTTAGTAAAATTCTAAATACCTATGCAAAGAAAACATATCTGTGGAAAAGATCACAGTATAAAGAACATGGGCTTTTGGGTCAGAAAGACTTGGATTAAAGCCATGGATATCCATATGCTCAACATGGGTCTTAAAACAAATTTTAAACTCTTTGAGTTTCATCTGTCCTATATTTAAAATGTCAAATATCCAATCATAAAGCTACAGAAATAAAGAAAAGAAACAAGCAGGAAAGTACCCATCTAGCCAGTCTACAGTAACATTCAATAAACATTCTCTTCTCCTCAGTATTCTCCCCTCCCTGGAATCAATCAACTCAAAACCCATCATGCTTTCATACTGTGTGTGCCGGGTAAATGTGAGGCATGCGCTTTCATTCTGATTTTCATTCCTTCTTTAATGTAATGAAAAGCTGTAGAATTTTTCAGAAATGATCCTGGAGAGGATATGCAGTTATGGACCTCGTTTCTCCAGTGTTTTATACCTTGAGCCTTACCTGGCTGGTCCAGATCAGAATTCCTTTGTCCTTCTTTCCTTCCCGTAATAGGTGCAGGAGGCACTATGGATTCACTGCCCAGAGGTCTCTTCACTATCTTCTTTTTTAGGGTCCTGTCTTGTCTATCTGCCATGGCTGCTTCACCCCAAACCCAAAAATATCAAGGACATTTTTTCTTTCTCAATAACAACTTGGAAAGGGCAGACTATCTCCCAACATTTAGCCTCTGCCTTGCTCCACATCTTCTGCTCATTCTCAATCTAGTGAGCTCTCTCAGTGGCTTCCAGTTCCCCATCCCGCTTGGTTTTTTTTTTGTTTGTTTGTTTTTGTTTTTTACATCCCGGGGGGGGGCCCCTCCCTCCCCCGCCCCATCTTTTCCTTCTCTTCACTGTTCTCCTGAGAGTCGGCCTTCTCTAGGAAGCCATCCTTATTGGCTAAGAATTTAAAACTTCCCATCTTTAACCTAACATTTTATAAAACACAGAAATGAGGAACCTACAGTTTCTTCCCTGATACAATCAGCTAGTCCTGCCTGTGTTTTCAGGTCTTGGAGCTGAGATAGATGGACCCAGCTACCTGAAGACTCCTAATACTCCCTGCTTCTGCCCTGCCTTAACTGTGAGACGCAGCCCCTCTCCAGCAGGCTTGCTTACGTCTTGCCTTGGGCTTTTTTGAATGTGTTTTGGTTGGCTTTGGTCCAGGCAAAGTTGGATCCTGTGAATAGAATAGGGGAAAAAAGGATAAATTCAGTCATATAACTGTCTTAATAGACTGGGATGTTATAGAATAGCGGGTGGGTTTTAGGGAATCAACGGTCACCTTCCCATTTTGTTTGGTATTAATCAATGCAAGGTTTTAATGCATAAAAAAAGGAAATAAAGCTAGGTCACAAGCATGGTAAAAGCTGATAAATTAAAAATTAAAAATAATTAAAAGAGAAAGTGAAAAATCTATATTTTATATTCCTGAATAAGAGATGCTAAGTAACTGAGTGAATGAATATCCTAAGGGTCCACAGAGGAAAGAAAAGAGTAAAAAAGCAATCTGCTCTTCTCTCAAATTTCTCCAGAAAGGACCACAGAAATATGGTATAAATTGAGATTTTAATTAAAAAAATGTTCTAAAGATGTGAGAAATTGAGGGAACAAGGACTGCAGAGAGCCTCCCTTGGTGGAGACCTCTAGGACATAAGACCAGCCAGCTGGTCTCACCTGAGACAGAAATGAAATGGATAATAGCAAATGTAAACGCATCACAACCAGTTCCTTACAGGACTCTCCTAAAAGGCGATCCTGATATAACCAATATTTAAAGCTAATCTTACTCTCTTCTCTTCTTTCTCCTCCTCTATCTCTGATTCCTCCTCTTCTTTTTCCAAGTAGGACTCTGGGCTATTAGCCCCAGAAAGTATTAGGTCTAAAACAGGAAAAGAAAAGAAAGGCTAAATAATTTTTACAAAAAAAAGTTGGTGAATTATGAAGCTGATGCCAGAGAATCCATCTTCTAACTCTGCCTTCTGTGTCCAAATGATATTTTCCTCATAAAATTAGTTCCCAAATATCATGATTCCACCCTCTTCAAAGCTCATTACTATCCATCTACATTCTCTTTTCACCCTCTTTTTCCCCATTCTTCTCTCCATCCATCTGTCGATCCATCCTGAATACTGGATCAATGAAATTCACAAGAGTCTCCTATTACAGAATCCAGAACCAAGCTTGAGCTGCCACTTTCATGGAAGAGTCTCTCCCCTTCCTCTTCAGCCTCCCCCTCCACTTCTACCTTTTCCATTTCCACTGCTGTCAGATCCACCATAACGGCTCCAGAAACCAAATAAGTTGACCCGCTCCTGAGGGAACCAAGAAACAAAAACATCATCCACTATCTTCCTAAGGGAGCCTTTGCCCTCTGTCTTCTAAATTTTAGTTCTGACAAAATTTGTATTCATTTTCCACACCATTTTCACTTGAAATATTATATTAGGCCTATCTGGACTTTTATAGAGATTAACTGTAATCTATTTTCCCAGTTTATTCATAATTCGACAAGTAACAGGGAAAGAGAAATTCAGTTCATCATTCTCAACCCCACCCTTACCCCCATAGGCAGAATCTGAGACTGAAAAACTCTCAGATTAAAAGAGATTAGGGTACAAATATCTGAGACTTGAAGTTAAATAGGGAGGTAGGCTGACCTCTACCACAAACTGTCTCTTTGGGCTGAGAGAAGATCCCACTTGTTCAAGGACATGGGAAGAAATGGATGACTTCAGGAATCAAGGGAATCTGGTATTAGAAAAAAGAGTAGTTCTAAGATAACAACTATGGAATGCAGTGGGGAGTATGGTTTTCTTTGTGTCTAAGTCCCAAATAAAAGCAAGTATGTGATCTGAACACTCTCCCACCCCAATGTTGATCTGTTCTGCCTTCTGAGCCATCATGATGGCTGCCACCAGTTTCTGGCTGTAGTCCTTATTCCTGCACTTTTTCTGAAATGGAAGAAGATTACAGTCAATAACAGACACTGCTTTAAAGATCAGTCAATAATAAATATTAGAGAAGTGATCCCAACATGCTGCAACCCACCAGACAGTATTTTAACTATTTGTTTCCAATTATTGATATGACACTCCTCTGTTCTCAATCTTCTGCACTCAGAAACAGCACTCCTCTTCCTTCTAATAAACCTCTCACCAATTCCTAGAAAATTTTTCAATTGACATTTTGGTCTCCAAAGTAAATGTAAAGGAGTTTACATTTTTTTAAGCTTCTCACAAGTTTCTTTAGATTCAACTGTTTGATTTAATTCTGTTTCCTTTTCTAAGACCCCTGAATTGCTGGGCCTTTGCTCATCTTATAGCCACTGGACACAAAGTAACTCTAAGAAGGAAATATGACATCCTTAACCCAGAAAGGCTTTGTGCCCCAGAGACATTTGGCAATGTCTGGGGACAATTTTTCGTTTGTCATGACTAGAAGCAGGGTCGGGGCAAGGCTAGATGCCAGAAGACCCCAGGGATGTTGATAAACGTTCTATAGTGCACAGGACAGCCCTCCACAACAAAAGATTATCTGATCCAAAATGTCCACAGCACTGAGAATGGTAAATCCTAAATTAATCTGGGCCCTCATGTCTGTCAGTCCTGATTTGGCTCAACTGTAGAGTACCTTCATCTTCAGGAAGGTCCACTATCTGCAAGCAGGGAAGGAGACTGAAAAAAATTGTTACCTTACTGCAACCCAGCAAAAAGAAGAATGCCTCGTGTACAATCTTACCCTTGGCATGACTGATCAGACCAAAGACCATCTCCAGACAGTTTCCCCTAGGAGCAGACTACACTTAATAAAGGGAAGATTTTTGTCTTCCAGTTCCTTGTATCACAAGAGACACCCCCCACCTCCCCACACACACACCCCCCACCCCGGTCCACACAGGTTTGCTCACCATTCCCGCTAGCTCCAGGGACAGCTCCTGGAAATTCTTTAGCATGTTGACTGGGATCCAAGCACGAGAAACTGTTTCTCCAAAAAATGTCACGTGGTATTTAGACTGTAATAAAAGATAGTCTGTTTGGCTCTTGACCTCTCTACTTTTCTCCTCTTGCCACAAGAAGTGGAGAAAGATAAGGGGACTTACAAAGAAGGTGTTGCGCTTCATATATTCCCTGAAGTCTGAATCCCCTACTCCACCTCATCCCACTATTCCTTCATTTTGACCTCAGGAATTCTAGTCAAAGCATCTTTATCAAATCATAAATGCCCTACAAATGGGTAAAGATTTAATTAGGGCTGGGGATGTGGCTCAAGCGGTAGCACGTTTGCCTGGCATGCGTGCGGCCCGGGTTCGATCCTCAGCACCACATACAAACAAAGAGGTTGTGTCCGCCAAAAACTAAAAAAAATAAATAAATAAATTCTCTCTCTCTTTCAAAAAAAAAAAAAAAGATTTAATTAAACACAAGTTTATTTCTTGGGGTGAGAACTTACCTCCATATTTCTAGCTCTAATTAAGGTCTTTTTTGCACTCAAGTCTGCTGCCTAAATCTATGTTTCCAACTCTAAATATCTTTTAGGATGGATATGCTTGTTTATTACTCACCGGCAGAGAATCAAGATGAGAAGCAAAGAGAAAATATTCCCCCAGGTCAGGATCAGATTCGACCATGCCTGGCCACCTGGGGAAGAGAGACAGGCATAGGGAATACAAGAGAAGACATCAGATAAACAGAACACAAGCTAATCAATATATATGTACAGAAAAAGGCAATACATTTAGTGAACAAAGGATACAAAAGGTCCATCATTAGCCCCTCCAGTGGTCACTTTCAAATGACTAAAGTGACTTCCATCAATGTACACAGAAGGTCAGAGTCTTCCTAGTAGAGTTGTCTTACTCTTATGCACATTCCCACAACCGTGAGTACAAAATCTCTAAGGAAGAAACTATCCTAATCTTCCTCATTCTCTTCACTTTGCGTGTTCTCACAACTCAATATTTTAAAATGCCTTGGATCCCCCCCCTCCATTTTCTACCCAGGTATGGCAGCATTGCCAGACCTTTCTTCCTGAAACCTCAAGAAAACACACTCTTTCAAAACCCTCGAGCTTGATATTTTATCTTCTCCCTCACCTCATGATTCCCCAACCTATGACTGGGAAAAACAATGCTCAGAGAAAATAATTACTTGCTAAAGATCAGTCTAACTTAAGTTAGACCTTAACTTTGAGAAACCTTAGAAAGACCTTGTTCTTTCTAAGGCAAGTACTGTTCCCATTACAAATATCTGCCATTTCTTTCCCTCCCTGCTTGAATCTACCACTCCCAAGCTCAGGATGGATGTTTTCTCTTTATCATGGTGCCCTACCAGGGGTAACCATACTGCTTGGCCCAGATGATGGATCCTGGGACATAGGAGGCATAGGCCACATCACTCTCACGCCCTGTCCAGATCTCCTCAGGAATATCACAGCGATTATAATCCAAGTCTGCCAAGAGAGAGAAGGAATAAAAGGATAGGAAGACACTCATGAGGTAGAAATCTAGATGCAGGTTGTGAGAGAACAAGACGAAAGTAGTATAGGAAGCAGGCAGAACAAAAGTAGCACCTGGAGGAAAAGAATAGAGACCCATGGAAGAAATGCAGCCTGAGCCAGGAGAATTAGGAATGCTACCTCCTGATACTCTATATAGAGATTCCAAACTCCCACTTACAAACCCTGGTGTGACTCTGTTCCCATCCATGGAGCAGTATGAGAGTAATTTCTCAGAGACTATTTTCTCATGTGTAAAATAACTAAGCTAGACAAGATCATCATTATTTCTTCAAAGTAGTTTCAAACATTCTATAATTCTGCTTTCCCCTATAAATCCCATATTCCTTGCTATCTACCAGCCCAATATTCTAATCAGGATTGAAAGGATCAGACTAATACTGAAGAAAATGAAATTTACACAATACATATATTCAGAATTCCAGGCCCTTTTCTTCGTGTAACTCTACAGAATGTCTTTCTCCCACTATTTATGCCCATAGTCATCTCCACAGGATAAGAAGCTCCTTTCTCCCAGTCAGTACAAGGACCCCTTGAGTGTAAAATACACCCATGTCATAGTTAATCTAAGGGATACATATCAGGAAAGAAGGAAGAACAATAAAACTTGAAAAAAAAATTCTACTTTTTCCTCCTGTATTCTGGTCACAAGACCAATTATCTGGGAGAACTGAAGGGTCAATGTTCCCACGCAGCCGCCTCCATTTCTCACAGTTTGGAGAGGAACACTGGACCCAAACTAAACATTGACCTGTGACAAGAAAAAAAATTTTCATAAAGGACTCAAAAATAGGTTATTCCTTCTTCAATCCAACTAAAAATCAATATAACTTTCCCACTCCCCCAGAATCACATCTCTATATAAATCTTACATATCAACTAGTCCAATCCCTACCCCATGACTGGGAAAATCAATGCTCAGAGAAGATAATTATTTGCTGAAGATCAGACTAAATTAGAACTCGGAATTCAAGCAAGCAGAAGGATAGTTTCCTGTATTAATAGTTCTTAGATAAAAAGATTGCCTTAGGGATGCGGGTATAGCTCAGCAGTAGAGTGCTGGCATAGCATGTGTTGGGCCCAATGTGTTCAGTCCAATCCCCAACACTGCCCCCCCATCAAAAAAAAGTTGCCTGGTATTTTTCCTGAGAGTGCTTCATTCTCTGTTGTATGACACTACTGAAAGGTTCTTTTGAAGGGCTAACCAGCCTCCCTTGTGTTCAATATACAGTTCTTATCTGAATCTGTTACCAAATCACCAAATTGAAACCTGTAAGACCAACAGCCCTGGGTTCACCCTCCTCCCAAATATACTGATCTAAGTCTAGCACTTCTCTCCCATTTGCTTTGGGCCCCAAAGGCCAAGCCTCCATTTATCCATTACCTTCTAAATTCCCATCTCAGCCTCTATATTCCCACATCTTGACTACATGTCCCACACACTTCCCCTCCCAAACTCTTCCAGAGTGTCCTTTGAAATTCCATAGACTTGAGCAACAAATGTTCACATATACTTAACCTCTGAGCCTCTGCCTCCTTTATGAAGCCTGAAGACATACTAATGACACTCAACCTGACCTCTACCCCAGCCCTCTAAGTGGATTCTGTCCCTTCTCACACTGTCCATATCTCTCAGGACAGAATGTTGCGCCAGCATCATCCTTACTCCCATTGCTACTATATTTAAGTCTCTTCTTCCTTTGAGATTCTACCATTCTTTCATCTCCCCTGTAAATATGCTGGTATCCAGCTATCTTATTTTCTTCCATTTCTAGACTTCAGTCCAGATGACCACAGGAAAACCACCCAAAAAATCCCCATTCTCTCAGTTCCTTAAATTTTTCCTTCATGCCACCTCAGTAATCCACTCTCACTTCCACATGCCCCAACCAGCCATCTACGGGAATCGTAAACCCTTTGATCCATTTATTCAAATATCTTCTCTGACAAAAAAAAAAAAAAAGAGCCCTGTCTGGGCTGGAGTTGTGGCTCAGTGGTAGAGTGCACAAGGCATGCACAAGGCACTGGGCTCAATCCTCAGCACCACATAAATTTAAAATAAAGATATTGTGTCCAGCTAAAACTAAAAAAAAAAAAAATCCCTGTCCTCTCCTACCTCACCTATTCAATGAGCCCTATAGCAACTTTCTCAATCCACTATCTCCTCCCATCTTCTCTGCTTGGTAACAACCTCTATTCTTCACTCTGAACCAATCACCTTTGGTTCTCTAACACTTCCCTAGACTCTCTTGCAGACATCTTCAGCTGCCTTTTTATCTGTCCTTTCTTCCACCCATGACAAAACACCACCTTGAATGAACCCAGTTTCTTCCTTTTCTGTGCTTACACTCCTGAAACTGAAAGTTGCTAGAGAAAAACCAGGCACGTAGGTATCACTATATTTTCACAATTCATATCACCAACCATTATGTTCCTCTGGTAAGTTCACTCTCTCATGTGAAAGCAATAATTATTCACAAGAAAATTAATGGAAAGAAACCACTCTAATGACATAAAACTGGATATTTATGGCTTGGGATGAAATATCCAATGACAGCAATTTTTTAAAGTTTCTGTTCAAACAACTGAAAGGAAAAGACAATGTGCTCTGAAAAACTGATGTTCACCATATGTGGTTCCAGGATAATGAAGACTGATGTCACAGACACACATTAACAGCATTTCAATTGGCCATTCATTCCATAAACACTAGCATCCTGAGTTCTGTGTTACCTCATTCTCCTGTCCCCTCCCCTCATCTTTCAGACAGTTTCCTCCTCAGTTTCCTTTGCTAGATTCTCCTCATTCTCCATCCAATCTTTAAATGTCACAGTTCCAAAGCCCAATCACGGGCTTTCTTTCCCCACACTATACTTTCCCCTAGACAAGCTCACCCATTCCCATATCTTTGAAATCCATTTTCATACCCGAATTACAGATTCCACCTTGCCTTTTGGCATTGTGTGTGTGTGTGTGTGTGTGTTCTGCTGAGAACTGAACTTGGCCATGTGTACATACACTTCCATTGGACTACATCCCCAACCCTGATACTTTTATTTGGAAGTTTCACAAAGATCTCAAGTTTAGTACACCTAAACTTGAATCTTATCCCACAAATGTGTTGTTCTTCCACTCTTATCACTTTCTTTTACATAACTGCTTAAGCCAAAAACCAAACATCTTTGACAGAACCTTTCCTCTCTTCCTGTCCCCAATATCCAATTCATTACCAAGTTGTCACAATTTTATCTCTAAAACTTATCATAAAACTATCTATTTCTTTCTCTCTCTCCATTTTTATCATCCTAATCCCAGCCATGCTACCACTAACTTAGTAATTGGTTGACTCCTCCTTCTTTTCCCCATATTTCAACCACTAATTTATCACTAAAGGATCATTTTAAACATTAATTTGGCCAGGCATGGTGATGTACACCTGTAATCCCAACTACTCAGAAGGCTGAGCCAAGAGGATCACAAGTTCAAGACCAGCTTGAGCAATTTAGTAAGACCTTGACTCAAAGTGAGATTTTAAAAAGGGCTACGGACGTAGCTCAGTGGTATAGTACTTGCCTAGCATGTGCAAGGGTCTGGATTCTATTCCCCAGTATCATGCACATAAAAAAAAGAAATTAAGAATGACACACTGCACTAAAGTATAAAAATTTCACTATAGCACGGTCAAGGTCATTGATCTAACCACTGCCTAGTTCTTTCCTTTTTCCTAAGGCACCTTCCCACTTCCCTCCCTTGCTCTCTGAACTCCAATCATACTTTTTTTTTTGGTACTGTGAATATGACAAAAATACCCTACCTAAAACTTTATCCTACTCTTCACCTGAATAACTTCTTTTTTTTTTTTTTTCAGGTTACATCTGGAATATAATTTCCTTAGAAATTCCCTGACTATCCCAATCTTACTTAGGTCTCCATCATTTCCTAGTGACACTCTTCTTTTCCTTCACAATATTTAGTGAAAATTGTATTTAGGGGATTCACCCCTTTCTACTTTCTGCTCCAGAAGACTCTTTTCCTTGGCAAGTGTAAGAAACAGAAGGAATGGTTCACTTACAGCAAGAGGCTGACAAATTCACTACAATCATAATTCAACTCACAGGCGCCACCTAGGGAATGAGCTCATATCTGTCAATCTAAAATCCTAACCTGGCGGTAATGAGTACAGAAGAGGGAGCCACATAAACCTAATGACACTGGTTTATTTGGAAGAACTGGAGAGCAGGTCAACAGGGTCTACAGTATACCAAGAATAGTTATTAACAGGTAGTTTATCTGTTCGAATAAAACCAAAAGAAAAAAAAACTCTTAGTTCTCTTTTCAAGAAACAAACCTACCTAGAACACTCCCTTGTGGTGATCTGAGTTTCAGACCACCTGACCATCCAATTAGATTATACTTCCAGATCCTTATTGCTACCATGTCATTGTAATTAGAGGAATGGTTCACTAATCTGGACTATCTTTCTTGTTGGTACCCGCATAGTCTTTCTAGAATTTTTTCCAAGTTTGTGCAAATTCTATTATGCTTTTACAATCAAAACAATGTACATATACACATACATATTAGATACCATCTGACTTTTTACTGTACCAATCCTTATACTTTGGATTTTGTTTTCTATTATTTTGGGGGTTTCTGTACAAGCCTGTTTTCTCCCAAAGTATTAGCTATTTATGTCTGAATTTTTGAACCTACTAATATATTGTATGATCTGTTTTATTTCTTGTCATAAATATCTAAATGTCACCTTGATTATTTCATATTATACTTTTCATTATCTAACACACAAAAACTGTAATTCTATGAATAAGAGCTATCAAATTTATTCATCACTGTATTTCTAGCTCCTAATGTACATGGCACACAATTAACACACTAATAAGTGTAGTTAAGAAAACAAATAAGTTGAGGATATAGTTCAGTGGTAGAGTGCATATTTAGCATATGCAAAGCCCTGGGTTCAATCCCTAGCACAAAAAAAAATTCATAAAAATAAATAAATCCATATTCATTGTGACTCTGCCTTCAACCCATCTCAAAGGCTAAGGTGTCCTTCTTGGTGAAGGACAAATTCCTTGAATCTCTTCCCATTCCTATCTCAATTTCTCCCCCTCTATAAATAAATTTCCCTCAACATATAAATATGATCAAGTCTCTCTTTTAAAAGATAATTCTAGGCATGATGGTACATGTCTATAATCCCAGTACTTGGGAAGGCTGAAGCAGGTAGATCAATTGAGCTCAGGAGTCTGAGATCAGCCTGGGCAACACAGGAAGACCCTGTCTCATTTGTTATTCATAGACAGATGAATAGATGGATGGATAGATAGAAGAAAGTTATAAACTGAATATCCCTCCCACAACTCTCCCACTCTGTCCATTTTCTCCCTCTTAATTTTCACATGTATACTAACTAAAAAGTATTTACTCTGCAACTAACTATAACCATCCATACACCCTTACCAATCCATATGATAACTATTATCACACCCTAATGGCTTCCTAACTGTGATATCCTTGAGCATTTTCAAATCTTCACCCTCTCTGGCTTCTCCATGGTAGCATTTGACATGACTAAGCACTCCCTCTTTCTTCAAATTCTTTCCTCCTCTGATATCTGTGATACCACTCTCATAATTTTTCTTCTACCTTTCTGACCACATCTTAGTTTTCTGCCTGGGTACTAACTAAAATGCCTGGTACGTAAGGATTATGTGAATAAATGACTGAATGAATGGAATCTTTCTCTTCCTCAGCAGCATATTCTTTAACAAGCAACTGTGAAAGTTATGAGTCTTTGCAGTTTCCTCTAACATTCTAATCCTTGTCTCTCTCCTCCATTTTGAATATTCAGCCCAGGTGGGCTTGCCAAACCAAGTGATAAACTTTGGATAAACTCACCAAAACCACTTTCTTCCCCTTTTTGCTGACCCCTGATCTGAGAATCACCCTGAATTATTTTCTCTGGATGGTCTTTCTCTCTGCACTCATGTCCACCTTGAACTTTCTCCATTTTTTCATCTTCTGGGAAGGTAAAAAAAAAAAAAAACATTATGAGGTGAGGAGATGAAGAAAAGAATCTTTGTAGATAGAAAAGGTCAGTGAAAAGAGGAATCAAAGCTCAATAATTTCAAGACTTGGACTGAAAATTCTCAGCCTATTAACTGTCCCATCCTCTCATTTCTTTAAGTATCTAAGTCAGGAATCAAATTGTATCTGACTACACTTACGAGCTTCCCTCTTTCTTTTGCTTAAGGAAAGTCTATTAAATTTCTTCTCAGAAGGTGCAGGAACCAGTTGGGCTGATTTAGATGTTCTTATCTCTGGGACATCTTCTACAGAGGCTGAAGTCTCTGGAGTATGAGGTATCATTTTCCACTCTCTGAAAATTTTCAAATGAAAAAGTCAAAAGGAACAACTTTTGAAAGACCTCAAGAGTGAAAGAAAGATAAAAGATTTCTAGATTTGGGGGTAAGGGTATAGCTTGGTGGTACAGCACACAATTAGAATGAACAAGGAAAAAAATACCAATCCTACGTCCATTAAAGCCACCTGAGGTCATTTTACTCATCTACTTGCTTATTTTTTTCCTCAGCTGAAAGAGGTTTCTTTCCTTAGCTGAGAGAAATCAGTAGAAATAAAATTATATAATTTTTAATTACATTTTAAAATATTGTAAAAGTACAATTTAAAAATTTAGGTGAGATGAGCATGGTGGTACATGCCTATAATCAGTAGAAACACCATAAATGACTAGATATATAGATAAATCACCATTTCCCAATGTTAATTCCCCATGTTTAACTTGCCTCCCTGGGATAAACTTACCCAACAGCGTTATCATTATCAGTAGCAGAAGCAATGCCTGGTTCTTTGTCTGACTGGGAATTGGTCTGAACACAGGTAGTCTCTGCAAAATTAAGACCAGATCCCATCCCTCCCAAAACAGAATATTATAAGCAGAGAAGCGATAAGACAATCACTCAGTATTTACTAACCATAACATTTGTCTCTTTCCTGTGCCTAGAAGAGTTTACCTTTGGCTACTTGTCATATGATAAAACCTAAATCTTTAAATTTTCAGAAAAAAAAAACAAAACTAGAAATCTGTATCTTTCTCCAAGCCTTTCCAGACTGATCTGATTCACTCCAGGACAGCTAGATAATTATAACTTTATTTTGTATATGTAAAAATAATACACACACACACACACACACACACACACACACACACAAAAATTATATCACTTTTCCTCAAACCCCTTCTAGGAACAGAAGTATACCTGAGAATGGCTGAAGTGGCTAATTCTCCTTAGCCTCAAACTTTATGGAGAAGGCCCTGGGGCCTATACTACAGAGTTCTTTCTTCTAAAAACCAAAACCCTAAGAAGATGTTAAAACATTAAAAACAGAAATATACAAGGATAGATGGAGACTAAATTCTTCAAATCTGGGAAAACAATTTTTCTTTCCTAAGTAGACTGTAAACATATAAAAATGAATTAAAATTGCAATTTAAAATATTATAAATAAGAGCATTTTAAAAATGTAGGTGAGATGGGCATGATGGTGCTGCATGTAATCCCCAATACTCAGGAGACTGAGGCAAGAGGATCATAAGTTTAAGACCAGCTTGGGCAACACAGCAAGACATTGTCTCAAAATAAAAATAAAATGGGCTAAAGATGTAGCTCAGTAAAGTGGTCCTGGGTTCAATTCCCAGTTTTGCCTGCGCCCCCATTTTTTTTTTTTTTTTTTAGTTTAAGACTATATTCTGAAATCAATGTAATCCACTTTTCTAAAGGTCTGTACCTTTTATCTTAGGTGGGTTAGCCATGGTCCTATTGATAAGGAATTAAGTATTTCAAAGTCTTGTCTAATGTTTCTTATGAGGAAGAAAGAGAAGAAAAGATGTCAAACTTACACTACTTCTCAGATAAGTCACTTTACCTAACTGAAACCTTTTTTCTCTTACCACAAGCCGTACCCAAGCACTCCTGAAGGGACTTCTGAAGCACAATCTGGACAATCTCTTCAAATTCTGCATTGGTAAGACTTGATTTTCCCTGCAGAGATGAGGGTAAGAAGGGAAAACTGCTTATCTTTTCATAGTTCTTTCCTCTGGCCAGTCAGGAAAGCCTCCTTTAGATGAGGCAGTTAAGTTCACAGGACTGAAGGTATGAAGTCAACATACCTAAGGAGTTCATAAACTTTATCCCAGATGTCCTGGGAATAAAGGAGTAGAAGAAAAGAGAAATGTTTATAATATTTCTGTCTACTTCTACTCCCACTCTAATCTACCTCATTCTATTATTTCATCAAATGCTTTCATCAAAATATCTTTTTGCCTCTTAGGGAAGAAAACAGAAGTTAAAAAAAATAAAAACCACGAATATAATATTGTAACTACAGGATGAAGTTCCCCAACATGAAAAGATTGTTTGTCTAGCCCCAGGGGCTGGGGGCAGTGTAGGAGGAACTTTCCTATGAGAGTTCATTAATGTGACTCATACCTTTTCCTTCTTCTCTGCTGGCTTGTCTTGAGCCTTTCCTTTTTTCTCCTGACCAACCCCTGGACCATCCTCTGTAGTTGCCTTTTCCTCCTTCTCTAACCTGGCTTTTGGTGGGCTTGCCTTGGCTTCTGCCACTGGAGAACTGATCCCCAGGGTCTCGTCTCTGTGTGAGTTGGGGCCATGCGGTATCATGCTATGCAATTTTTGTGTAGGTGGGGCAAAGGGTTTCTTTGATCCCTTCCCACATTCTGAAATTGATCAAATGGAATTTATGAAACAGTCTAACAGACATCGCTGAACACTGTCTCTTTACTAGCCACATGAGAATTATATGGGGAGAATTTTTAATAAATTCAGATTCCTAGGTCTGTCCCTGCCCGTTCCACATCACCCCCACCCCCCTCAGATTATGATGAAGTAGACTGAAGTGAGGCTCAGAAATCTATAATTTTATAAGACTAGTTGATTCTGGCACAGTCCCAAATTGGTTTGGGAACCAATTCAAAGGTGATAAAAATATAGGCATACAGAAAGCTGAGTATTCAAGTATAAATTTTTAAAAATTTGCTTAACTTTGAATAAAATTTCTTGAGAATTTAGCTTCAAAGCACTAGCCAAAATCTACAAACTATTCAAGGGCCAATTTTATGCTACCTCATCCATGAAATTACACTGATCCTCTCAGGTATAAGTAATATCTCTTTCTTCTGAGCCTTTATAATTCTTTGCACCTCTCAGATAGCACTTACCACATTCAACTTTATGTTATAGATGTTTGAACGTCTTTCTTCTCCCTATGAGTTCAGAAATCATATTTATTTCTGCTCAAAGTATCTTTCAGAGTAGAAATTTGAACAGAGTGAACAGAAAATATATATGAACTGAACTGCCCTTTGGTGCAATGGATGTTCAGAAAGAGAAAAGGAGATAAATGTATAAAGTGAACCTCCCTCATTCTTGGCTCACCTTCTTTCTTCTGCAATGTTGTCATCATTCAGCTGAGAAACACAGCTTTCTTTGCCTCTGTTAGAAAAAAGAAATGAACAATGATTCTGTTCACTTTAAAAATATTCTTCTTTTAGTTGTAGATGGACACAATAACTTTATTATTTTATTTTTATGTAGTACTGAGAAACAAACCTAGTGCCTCACACACACACGGCAAGTACTCCACCACTGAGCTAAAACCCCAGACCCTGATTACTTTTTCCTCTCCCTGTTTTCTTGAGTTCAATATCTATTTGCTTGAGAATCTTGACTACATTTCTGCTTTTTTGACAATACTTCTCCCCAATTCAGCAGTATCAATTACATACCAGGGAATAATGAGAATTACTGTTTTAAATACGAGAAAAAATCCTTAGTATTTTTAGTACCTAGAACCATGTTTGATGTAAGGTGGGCACTCATACTAGGTAGCCATAGGAGTGGCAGTGGTGGAAGCATTAGTAGAAGTAGTGTTGTAGGGCTGATAGTCCTGGGAGTTCAAGAGTAAGCACTTTCCTCCATTTCCTGAAGTTCCACTACATACTTAGAATACAAATAATTTGGCAATTCTCTTATGCATAGAGAATCCCCTTTTGACATCATTGTAATGTTTGCTTTCCATTTACTTAGATCCTAAGGCCAATGTTTTCCCATATACTGGACTCTACCCATGTCTGTTTATAGCTCAGAAATATTCATAAACCCAGCAGAAGTCTTCAGAGAACTGAACCTTCTATCTTACTCTTCTACTTAAAACCTAGTAATAAGAACTTTCAGAACCTTCTTTGATATTCATAGCTATTCAGCAATCTATTCAGAGGAGTTCTACACTACACCAATGTGCTTCATTCTTACTATTGATATTGCAATTAATGATAATGGTTAACATATATTCAACACTATTTTCTTTACCTTTTATATATTATCTCATTTAATTCTCACAAATCTTAGATACCATTTTATATGTGAAGAAACTGCAGCTTACAAAAATTTAGAGATATTGAAGAATTAATAAACCATAAAACCAGAATCAGAACATGTATGTCAAAGTTGGTGCTATTAACTATGCTGTGCTGAAACCCAATAGTCTAATTCAATGTTTCACCATAATTTTAACACAACATACAGAAAGCATACGTAAGAATACACGTTTAAACATATAGGCTTAAAGCATACACACCATTTTTTTTTTCAGTGCTGGGGATTGAACTCAAGGCTTGGAGCATGCTAGGCAAGCATTATCCCAAGGACATCCCAGCCTCCTGATTTTGGTGATTGTAACAAACAATACAGCTCTAGGAGGGCTTTAGAAGCATAAAGTCTCAGCTCCTCTTTTTACAGAAGAAAAATACACAACGTGAGGTAAATGGTTTGCCCAAAGTCTTAGTCTTAATACATATTAGAACTCAGACCAACCCAGACTTTTGCTTCTAAATCCTAAAAACACATCCATTCTACTTAGTGATCTTGTTTCTGGCTGTTGGTTTTGAATTTTGAAGACCCTGGAACTGACACTCAGTTCTTCTAACTACTTAATCTCCCACCACAAAGAGACATAAAGGCAACATAAAATAGACTTTTTGGTTCCTAGACACTTCTGGTTAAAGAATCTGAAGATTTTAAGATACTCAAATGCCAAACTTGTTCAAGTTAGAGTTCCATCATCTAGATCAGAAGGTGAACTCAAAAGGTATTGGGGGCTTGATTAGCATGCACTCCTCATGGCTACATGCAAAGTATTTTAAAATTATCCTTTGATATTTTTCTGTTCCTTTTCTTAATTTCATAAATGTGAACAATTCAGATATGGTTTTCTGAAGTAACTAGTTTTCCCTTATATTAAGGAGCACATTTCCTCACTGTGTCCATCTTAACTCATCACCACCAATCCCCAAACATAATTTCTCCAGGGGGAAAAAAAAGGCAAGTAGAAATTTGGGGGAGAAACACTGAAGCAAATTGTTCTCTTTCTTTAATATGATCTTCAGTAAAAGCTAGAAACTTTAATAAGCTGCAAAAGGAATATCTGATCACAAATGAAAATGTGACCATAAATGACAAACATATCTTCTCCTAGACTCCAGAATTCTGAAAAATCTCATGAAAAGTACCCAATGAAGATAATTTAAATTATAACAGCTGTACTGAGGGAGGAAAAGTAGAATGAAAATTAATGTTTTTAAGATGACATTTGGCTATTCAAAATGTATGTCTACATAATATGCTTGTTTATCCATAAACTTTCTCTGGAAGAATATATAAAAAATTGATCAAAATGCCTCTGAGCAGTAGATCTGGGTGGATGAGAATGAAAGGAAGCTTTTCATGATACTGCATTATTTCTGAATTTTATAACATACATATTACCAATTAAAAAATTAACTTTTAGAAAAGTCAGGGAATCTCATGAAAATCAAAGGGAAATCAGTAGAGGAAAGGGATCAAAGGAAGGAGGGGAATACAGGGAAATAATATTGGCCAAATTATACTCTTATGCCATGTGCATGTACAAATATGTAAAAAAAAATCCCATTATTATATACAACTGTAATGCACCAATGAAAAATATATTTTTATTTTAAATTCTTCAAATGTAATAAAAAGAATACTTTGACCAATGTAAAAATAAAAACTTTTCTAATATTTAGGTTCAAATCCTTATCTAAACCTACACAGACCTTTCTAGGCCAAAGTGTTTCTGAAACTCCAAGCAACTGGGTAGAATTGTATATTATTATTAAATTAACAAGACATAGCAAATCTATAAGTTGTGATGCTTAAAGGTCCCCTTAATCTAAGGAGAAATATGATGAAGACCATTACTTTTAAACAAGAGTTCTAGCCTGACCAACAGAGAAGAGAAAGCAAAGAAGTGACAACTCAAGTTTCTGCTCCCTGTTTCAGATTAATTTCCTTCTTTCTACAATAACAAATATTGAAATCTGGTTCAGAGAGAAAAAAAGAAATCATAGCTAATAAATATACAAAACATCACCAAATTTATTCTGAACAGACTAAGGACTCTAGATCCAAGATTAGCATTTCTCTTTTTCTTACCTTAGATGAAAAGGAGATAGGGAAGGAGAGATGGAGAGGACAATAAAGACACAGAGACAGTCCCAAAACCTTTACCATAGGAAGTAAAATAACCAGAAAATCCCATAAACTGTATGCCACTCACTCAACCTAAGAGAGGGTAGGGGCTGGGATTTACTTCAGTGGTAGAGCATTTGCCTAGCACTAGCAAGGGTTTAATTCCCAGCACATGGGGGACAAAAAGAGTAGAGAAGGGGAAAAGAA